GATAATTCCCAGATTTATAACCCGGGACAAGACCGATAACTTCTCTATTTCTCTGGCTGGGACCACCCTGTGAACTCCAGAAATGAGTTCTCCTGGCTGTGTTGAGATAAAATTAAGTCATCTTAATGTTGGAATCTGGTTTATGGGTTTCTCTATAGAAAACATCAGCCTACAGCAAAAACTAATTAATTCCGGTTCCAGTTCATGAACTAGACATTCAATCATAGAATCATAGATGTTAGAGTTGGAAGAGACCATTGATTAAGTCATTTAATTCAATCTTCTTGTTTCACTGATGGGGAAACTGAGGTTCTCAAGAAGGATGGGGACTTGGTACTGCATGATAGACCTGGGACTAGACACTGGGTCTTATGATCTCACTGGCTAGAACATTTTCCTTTCCAATGAGCAATTTCAGGTTTTCACCATTTTGGAAAAAAAGATTGACTCAGCAAATAAAGTATAAATAAGATTGCCAGAGGGCTGTTTACTTCAGAAAAGCTGTCTTCAAGCACTTTCATAACTACTTCAGCAACAGTAATTTGCATACAAACAATGAATGTGCTAATTAAAAATTCTTCTGAAGTCTTCATTAATAGCAGATTGGGCATTTACTGAGGCTTGTTTGGAAGCTGATGGAGTTGCTGAGTCTACTTAGGAAGGACTCAAATTGCATTTCTTTAAGACTATCAACTCAGATGTTTCACTGAGTGAGCATGCCTTTTCCTGCAATTATTCCCGGTTGTTTTACTTGAAAATCATTAGGAAATTTTTCCCCTCAGGGCTTCTTTCTTCCAGGTTGCACAATCTGAGTTTCCCATAAGAGTTCCAGCCCAGCCCTTGAAAGACCTCTGTTCTCTCATCATCATCAGCTATCCTGGAGCACCTGCTGTGTGTGAGGGCTCTGGGCTTGGCGCTCTGGGGTCATGGGATAGGGTGGAGCTAGAGTGGAGAAAAGAAGACCTTCCTTCCTCCAGGGCTTGCAGGTCAAACCAGGGTTTCAGTACATGTGCTGGAGCGCAAATGGGAAAGAAGACACAAGAGTGTGTGCAGATGGCAATAGAGATGGTTCCTCTATTGCTTGATTCATTCAGTCACCATTGTATGGTATAACATGTGCTTAGTGTCAGGCACTGTGCAAGGTGATGGGAACACAAAGACAGAGACAAAATAATCTGTGCCTCCAGGGTTTTTGTATTCTACCAGTGGGGTATAACATATGTACGGATAGGTAAGAAGAAGTTAGAGACACATTTTTAAAAAAATTACCTTTTGTTTGTTTTTGTTTTTACTAGGCAATGGGGTTAAGTGACTTGTCCAGGGTCACACAGCTAGTAAGTGTCAAGTCTCTGAGGTCAGATTTGAACTCAGGTCCTCCTGACTCCAGGGCCAGTGCTCTATCCACTGCACCACCTAGCTGCCCCTAGCTTAGCTCTCTTCTAACTATTAACACACTGTTACATATAAATCTAATCAGACGAGTCTGAATGAGCTTGTACTCCATTCTGGTTCTAATTGTTACCATCCCTGGAAGGGTACCATGATGTCCTGGAATATGTCTCATAGCAGTGTGGTGTAGAGAATGAGCACCCAGGGAGGGAATTGGCAAACCTGGGTCCTGGTTCCAGCTCTGTCAATTACTTGCTGTAGGATTTTAGGCAAGTCACTTTGCCTCAGTAGAATTCATTTTCCAATGAAGATAATGATCACAGGTTTGTAGATTTAAAACTGGAAGGGATTTTTGAGATCATATAGTCTAACACTCTCATTTTACGTATGAGGAAACTGAGGTCCAGAGAGGGGAAGTGATTTGCCCAAGATCATTGTTTGGTGGGAAAATGGAATTTGAACCTAGTCTTCTAACTCCAAATCTGTCCCTCTATGGTCTTTTCCAGTTCTAACATTCTGGGGTTTTTCATTGCTGTTCTCAGGCAAAGGTGCAAGATACTGGAGTCATTTGAGGTCACAGTGGTTGTACCAAATGGTGCTGGGGAATACCAGACTAATGCCCATTAAAAAAAAATTCCAATACTTTCTTGGTGATGCTGTATCAAAGAATACCATGATCTCCAAAGACTCAAAATTGCTGGTGACTCAAAGATCACCTTATTTTGAGTAGGCATTATGTAGGCTGCAAAACATGACAGAATATTACCAATGACGATATGCACACAAGATGTTCCATAAAAGACTTTATCCAGGAAGAGTCTGCTATAGCTGAAAAGAAGGTATAACAGTCAAGTAGGCAATGAGAAGGATGGACAACAAATAGACAGCTGAAATGCGGTAGTGATTATTGAAACATCCAGAAATCCTCCAGAGTGTTAGGTAGATAGTCTATGAAGGATTTATGAGAAGATCATGGAGACAAGTCAGAGAGGATAAGACGCCTGATACTGTTGGAGCATGTGCACACGCCAATTAGCTCTCAGATCTACTGAAATATTGAAGCTTTTATTCCCGCTTGGGTAATTTCATTTCTGGAGCAGCATTGAAGGGAATGTAGCAATATCTCGCTAACACTTGCATGTGCCAATCAAGTGCTGCTTATTAATGTGTCCTTAGATAAAATGTCTTTATTCTCAGCCATTTTTAAAGGTGGTGAAGATGGAAGGGGTTAAATATAAATTATGTTGCATGAACCTCAAAAGGTGTGTTGGTATGCAGCCCCATGTGCTCTTTGGAATTCAATTCCTTCCTGTTGCCAAAAGAAAGTAGGGCTGATCTATTAGATCAGAATATATTCCTGTCTTCAAATCCTGGCAACAGGACGTTCTGTCCTCCAGATTTCATAGTTTGAGTTGGGTGTTGCAGGAAACTTGGCACCAGGGCTTTCTTTTCAAAATAATAAACAGAGATGTCGCCTTGGGTTTCATCTGATGAGGCATAGATGCTCCTGCACGGTGAAGGCTGATTCATAGGCAAATGGGAACTAATAATAGTAAGTTTAAAAAAAATATTCCCCTGTTTAAATTTGTCAAAGCAAGATTCCTGTCATGTTTTGCAGGACACAAGGGAATGTGTTCCTTTGATGGCGCTGTAATGACATACTAACTTCTATTTCAGGCTTGGCATGGTTAGGCTGAGCTATGTCACCTCTTGCCTTTATTCAACGAAAAGCATAGTGTTAAGTGAGTAGAGCTCTGGACTTGGGATCAGAAAGACCCAAGGTTAAATCTTGCATTTGGTACTGATTAGCTGAGTGATGAGCAAATCTGTTTCCTCATCTGTAAAAATGGACATCATAATAATAGCCTCAGTTTCCTCATCTGTAAAAATGGGTATCATCATCATAATAGTGGCATCTACATTACAGGGTTGCCATGAGGCTCAAATGAGATTATAATGTAGGCAAAGCATTTGTAAACTGTGAAGTGTTAACAACACAGAGTATCCCCAAGGTCTCAGTTTTAAGCTGCACTGAGACTTAGGGGACAATAGAAGTTATTTTCATTATACTCATGCTATAGCTTGGCTGTGTGATGTAGTGGACAGGCACTGGGCTTGGAGCTCAGAGATCTAGGTTCCAGTTTTGACTCCACTACTCACTAGCTGAATATCTTTGGATAGGTCACTCACCCTCTCACCTTGAGTTTGCTCATTTGTAAAATTGGCCTCATAATAGCTCACATTTCTTTTCAAAATTTTTTTAATCTATTTCTTTCCCTTCTGCCTCCCCGACTTAAATCAGAAAAAAAAAAGAAAAGAAAAACACGATTCTTGTAATGAATATGTGCATTCAAGCAAAACAAATTGTCTATGCCAGGGGTGGGGAACCTGCGGCCTCAAGGCCACATGTGGTCCTCTAGGTCCTCAAGTGCTGCCCCAGCCACATGTGGCCTTGATGCTGCAGGTTCCCCACCCCGGGCCCAAATTTACAACTTATCTATGTTCAAATCATTTGCATCATTCTGTTCCCTGAGTCTGTCACCTCTCTTAAGTCTTTCAGAAGTGTTGGTCTTATCAATATTGTGGTTATTGAATAAATTGTTCTCCTGGTTCTGCTCACTTCACTCTGCATCAGTTCATATAAATCTCAGGTTATTCCTTAACTGTCACTTTAATCATTTCTCACAGCATAGCAGTATTTCATTGTGTTCATACACCATACTTTGTAAGCCATTTCCTAATTGATAGGCATCTCCTTAGTGTCCAGTTTTAGTTTGGTTTAGTTTTTTTGCCTCTACAAAAAGAGCTGCTATAAATATGCCAGTCCCAAAAGTCTTGGTGCAGATTTCAGCTCTAAACTACTCTAAGACTTTGGGGGGACACTGTGTTTTTGTATATATGGGTTCCTTTTTTCCTTCTTTGTTCTGTTTGCTAGGTCATCACATTTTCACAGCACCATTTTAAAAATTAAATTTTCTTTTTTTTAATTTAACAAACATTTATTTTCTCTTCCACCACCCCCTCACACTGGGAAAAAGAAAAAGAAAAAGAAAACCCTTGTAACAAGTATTCATAGTCAAGCTAAACAAATTTCCACATCAGCTGTGTCCAAAAAATGTTTATGTTATTCTGCATATTGAATCTATCCTCTTTCTTGTCCAGAGGTGGGTAACATTCTTCATCTTCAGTACACTGGAAATGTCCATAGTCCTTTAAGGTTCATAACATACTTCTCTTACAACAATTCTGTGAGCTTGGATAATGAAAAATGTAATCATTTCCATTTCACAGCTGAGGAAACTTGAGATTCAGATACTGTTAAATGACTTACCTAAGGTCACATAGTAAGTGCAAGAGCTGGAATTTGAACCCAGGTCTGCTGACTCCAATTCTACCACAATTTTCTTTTTAAAACTATATTATGTTTCCTCTCATGGTCTAACTTATGACAGTGGGAGGTTTCCTACTGTAGGTAGTATGGCTCCCTAACTTAAAGGTTGGTTGTGATAGTAGAATGAGATTAATGTACATGAAGCATTTGACAGCTCCCAAAGCCTAGATAATTGTGAGTTCTTTATGTAATTTTTTTTCCTTTTTTTGTTCTCTTTTAGGGAACTGAAACCCATTCTCCTATAGCCTCCAGAGTCTTCTGTTGCAGATACTTTCCCCAAGGTATGCTGGTTGTCACTGATAGATTCTATACTACCATCTGCTCACCAGACTTTTGTATCTGTGATTTTCTTTCTTTCTTCTTTCTTTCTCTCTCTTTCTTTGTTTCTTAGTTTCTGTTTCTTTCTTTTTTTCTTTTTTTCTTTCTTTGTTTCTTCCTTCCTTCCTTTTTTTCTTCCTTCCTTCCTTCCTTCCTTCCTTTCTTTCTTTCTTTCTTTCTTTCTTTCTTTCTTTCTTTCTTTCTTTCTTTCTTTCTTTCTTTCTTTCTTTCTTTCTTTCTTTCTTTCCTTCCTTCCTTCCTTCCTTCCTTCTTTCTTTCTTTCTTTCTTTCTCTCTCTCTTTCTTTCTTTCTTTCTTTCTTTCTTTCTTTCTTTCTTTCTTTCTCTCTCTCTCTCTCTCTCTCTCTCTCTCTCTCTCTCTCTCTCTCTCTCTCTCTCTCTTTCTTTCTTTCTTTCTTTCAGTTTGACCAGTAGTATTTCTAGACATAATTTTTTTTTGGAGGTGGGGGTGATTCTATGTGATCCAGTAACCATTCCCAAACTACTTGCTATAGTTGATGCTGCATATAGTTAGAGAATTGTTCTTTCCTGATCGATTCCAATATGTGACATGGAATATGAAGAAAACCAATTACTTCTAGAATGAAGATCCAAAACACTTTGTCAGTCTTGTGTAATACTAATGGAGTCCTTGAGAGGCAGGATGATGTAGTGGCTGGAGGGCAACCTTGCTTTCCTTGTCCTTCATTCTCAAAGAGGACTAGAATGATGTCATTGTGTTGAGGGGTCAAGGGACAGTGTGTCTGACTCTGGCTTATCAGACTAATGCAGTCTCTGAAGGTTCTACCATAGGTCAGGCACAAGTAGTCCCATAAGATTGGGGTTCAAGTCCATGAATACCAGAGATTGATTTCAGATGAGTCACTTAATCTCAATGCCTCAGGCTGTTCTTTAAGACTGTATGTTACTGGTCTGTATCATTTGAGGATGTTTCTACGTTGGGAGTGGCATATGCCAATGAGATCACAAGTCTAGGACAATAATAACAAAGGAATCTGTACCCGAAGGGCGGAATGTATAGAATCACCTTTGGCTGGGGCATATTGATAAAAAAGGTGTGATGTTTAGAGGATTGGGTTTATAGGATTGGTAGATTTGCAGTTTAGTGATATTGGCACCAGGTGGCAGTAGGTGCCATAATTTCTCCAATGCTTAAGTCATCAGATAGTTAACTAAGTATGTTTTTTCTCCTTAAAAACAAACAAACATTTTTACTTAAAGGGTTAGACTTAATCGTAAACAATGAAATAGACAACTTGTAAGTGCAAGCTTTTTAAAGTTATATGCATAGAGAGGGCAGCTAGGTGGTGCAGTGCATAGAGCACTGGGCCTGGAGTCAGCAAGATGAGTTCAAATCCCGCCTCAGACACTTACTGAATGTGTGACCCTGGGCAGGTCACTTAACCCTGTTTGCCTGTTTCCTCATCTGTAGAATGATCTGGAGAAGGAAATAGCAAAGCACTCTAGTATCTTTGCCAAGAAAACCCCAAATGGGAACATGACTGAAACAACTGAAAAACCACATAATATGCATAGGTACAAGTTAGTACCTTTCTCGTTAATCCTTAAATATTTCCAACTATAACATGATTTGGCCTTGGCTTTACCTGTAGGCTTGCATTACGTTACTTATAACTCACCCTAAATTATACGTTAGAATCAAATCCTTTCTGCTGCTGGGTAGATGATTCTGGAAATTCAGGCCAACTTGATATCAAAAACTCTTCTTAGCACCTTTTCTCCGACTTTTTGGTTGCTCATTGACAAGTTGTTTCTCACAGTGGCTGGATATATATACTTGCATTTATGGACTGATGCTGTGACTGCTTCCTGCTGAAGTAATTTCCTACAGTTTGATATTTTTAAAGAGTCTTCTATTTCACATATTAGAAGAAACAGACAGCTATGTGTAACACCTACCATAATTTAGGATCGTGGGATGTAGAGCTCAGGATACCTTAGCAATTATGTAGGCCGACCCTTCTCATTTTTCAGATGGGAAAGTTGAGGCCAGAAGAAATAAAATGACTTGTCCAATAGTAAATATTGGAGGCAGTGTTCAAACTCATTGCACTGAGTCCAAGCACCATTTCTACAGCACCATGCTGCCATATTCTATTTGAACCGCCCCCCCCCAATTCCCATGGCTGATTATCTTTAATCAGACAAAATTATCTTTCTACTTTACTTTTCAAGAAGAGATAAGTATCCCTCTCTTCAAACAGTTATTTCTAATTCTGGCGGCATAATTGAAATTTTACTGGAATAGAAATCAGACGGCCTGGGTCCTACTCCCAGCTCTGTGACTATTTACTAACTACATGAGTTTAGGCGGGTTGCTTGACTTGAAAGCCACAGAGAGTTTCATCAGCTATAAAATAAAGGAGCTAGACTAATAATAATAGCTACATGACCTTAGATGAGTCATTTAACCTTTGTTTCTTTATCCATTAACATGAGGTTGAATGTGATCTCTAGGGTACATTTCAACTCTAACAATCTTATGAATCTATGGAGATGGCAGTGAATACCTCCACCTACTAAATTATTCCCTTACTCCTCAGCAGTCTGTTTGATTATGAATTTTAAACAGGTAGTTGCAACCAGTCTCAGGTTCTGCAAAAAAGTAGGTTTAGTCAGTGATCAGAAGAAACTTTGATGTGCAAATCTTGGCCAAAATAATTTCCATTCCTTGGTCTTAGCCACTGATAAGAGACACTGCCAGGTCCCACTTTGGGGATCTTTTTTGCTGATAGCTCATTGAAATCCTGAGTCATGGTCAATAAAAATCAAGAGTTTGAACTCCTAACAAGTTGATTTTAATTTGAATTCTTTCCAAGTGGGACGTAGTAATAGCTAAAAACTCCTCCATGCCCTAATGGACTGGTACTATGGCTAACCCATTGTCCATATCCCCCCAAGTTTCCATGGTCCCTAAAGCTATTTATTCAGTGGCTGGATAATCACCTGGTGGGGATGTTGTAAAGAGCCTTTTTGTACTTCAGGTAGAATGTCAGTGTGAGGTAACCTCTAAGGACCTTTTGGTGATCTGTGACCTAGTGGCTAAGCCTCTGGTGATAAAATTATATGCATAGTAAAGGTTAATAAATTTTGGGTACAAGGAAGTGGTGAACAGCATAGGCACACAAACCCTATATCCAGGTAAAGGAGGGCTTAAGGAAGCAGCTACTTTTCTTCTAATCAATCTGGGAAAGCTCTGTAGAAGAGGTAGAATTTTAGGAGCCATTGACCACGTAAAAAGCCTTTGTTTGATGGGGTTGGGAGGAGAACAAAAAGGAAATGAACATTTCAGATATTATAGTACAACTTGGATGTGGGAGTAAGAAGTGTTGATGAAGGAGACTTCAAGCATATGTCACCTGAGATGAGTGAAGATGGTAGCCTGGATAGGTAGGGAGAAGATGATAGAATCACAGAATTTTAGAGGTGGAAAAGACCCTTAGAGATTATCTACTCCAATGCTGTCATTTTCTGGTTAATGAAACTGAGGCCCAGAGAGGTAAAATATTCTGCCCAAGGTCACACAGCTCATTAGTGGCAATACTGAGAATGTAATTTAGGTCTTGACAAAAATGATATCATCTCAGGGCTCTGGTACTACTTATATTTGGGTCAGTATAGCATATGAATTCTGCCTTAGCATTCTGCTTAGATGTGAAGACCATATGCCTTCAAAGCTGAATTTGTTGAGAACAAATTTTATTTCTCACAGAAATTTTGAGGTACCTAGATAATTAAATGCTCTTAGCATCATTTTTTAAACATCCCTCCCTAAATTATGTGTTTCCAAGCTGTTTCCTTTTCTTCTCCCCTGCCAATTTTAGTTTGAGTTTTGAGCTTTTCATTCTATGGTACGGTATTTTTTATAGCAGAGGACTTTTTGTACCATAAAATAAGCACATTTTAAAAAAATGTGCATAAGACCTGTCTCTGGAAACATCTGGTAAGAATAAGGAATGCTTGAAAAACTATGGTTCTCAGAGATGACCCCTACCTCTTTATTAGCAGGGAGTCCCCAAAGTAAACTTTTATTTCCTGCTGCTGACACACAGAGATCCTTAACTGAAATGTTTTGTGTTGTTTCTGAAACCTGGAGGGAGACTTAAAGTGAACCTTAAGGTCAGCAACCTGAGTTTGGGGGAGATAGGGTTGCTTTGAGTTATTTACCCAATATCATCCCCCGATACTTATGGTATGCTAGCTTAGGTCACATTCCTTTTGAGCCTGTGGTAGAACTGTACTTTGTAGCTCATTCTCCCAAGCCCACTAAAACCCACCTGAACCAATCACACCTAGAGTCTAAGTCCTAGACCTTCCCTGCATACCCCTACTTCCCATTAGCAAAGTCGATATTTTTCACATCATAGGCACTACGCCACAAAGTAATTTATTTCAGAATAGCACTGAATGTCTTTCAGGTTTTTTTTTTTAAAGCAAAACAAAACAAAAACTTGTCCCAGAAATATTCTAAACCATTTTATATTAAATCTTTTTAAAAATTTTATTTTTAATTTATGGAATAAAACAAGCATTTCCATAACATAGTACAATAAAAAAAGATGATTGCATATGAAACTGTAAATCTACTATATACAATTTGCTATTCCTTTCAAATATACAACAAAATTATCATGTAAATTTCTTTTTTTTCATCTTTCTCATGCTCTAGAGATGGCTACCATTAGACATAAATAGATAGATAGATAGAGAGATATGCACATATGTAAATTATCCTATATATATTTCTATTTATCAGTTCTTTCTCTGGATGCAGATAGCATCTTTCTTCATATATCCTTTATAGTCAATCTGAGTATTTATAAGAATCAAAATAACTTATTTGCTCAAAGTCATTCTTAAAACAATATTGCTGTTACTATACACTATATATATAAATATATATTATATATAATACATACATAT